TGAAGTCTAAATATATTATGCCCACAGTATTTCTGGTCTACTAATTTAGTCACTATGTTGAAGAATGAAATAAGACTGGTTTGGCATGATCTGATTTTAACAAACCCGTGCTGGCTGCTAGTTATTACTTTACTCGTTTCTAGGTGTTGGCAGATCTGGTTTTTTTTAATTATCTTTTTCAGTATCTTCCTGGGTATTGATGTTAGGCTGATTGGTCTGTAGTTTCCTGGGTCTGTTTTTTTCCCTTCTTTGAAGATGGGAACCACATCAGCACTTTTCCAGTCCTCTGGTAGTTCCCCAGTGTTCCAGGATTTTTGAAAGATGTGGTGCAATGGTTCTGAGATGACATCTGCCAGCTCCTTTAGAACTCTGGGATGTAATCCATCAGGTCCTGGTGATTTGTATTCATCAAGATCAGACAGGTGTTCTCTTACTATTTTTTTTGCTTATTTTAACTTTTATTTCCAGTCTGTTTTTTACAGTTATGTTTCTGGTAGGTTGGGCTATAGTTTCTTTTTGCGTGAAGACTGATGCAAAGAATGAGTTAAGCAGCTCTGCTTTCTCTCTGTTGCCTGTTACTTCCTTGCCATCTTCTCTCTTTAGTGAACCGACTGTTTTCTTGATTTTTTTCTTGTTATTTATATGTTGGAAGAAACTTTTTTTTTATATCTTTGACTTTTGTTGCAAGTCTTTGTTCATTCTGAGCCTTTGCTTTCCTGACTTTGTCTTTGCAGATTCTGGCTGTCTGCTGATATCCTGCCTTAGTTATGTATCTCTCTTTCCATTTTTTGTACTTGTCCTTTTTGTCTTTCAATTTGTCAGAGATCTTTGTGCAGTCATGCTGGTGTCTTCTTGGATTTCTTGTTTTTCTTTCTCAGTGGTATTGCGCTGGTCTGGGCTTTTATGATCATATTTTTCAGTTTCCCAAGATTCTTGAGTTGGTTTCCCCTTTAGGATTTTCATCCAAGGAATCTTTCCCAAGTTCTGAGTTTATTAAAATCAGCTCTTTTAAAATCTAAGACTCTGGTATCATTATGTTCTACTGCTTGTTTGCGTTATGTGGAATTCTATGATGACATGGTCACTCTCACCCAAGGTTCCTGCAGTTTCAACTCCCTCTATCACTTCTTTTCTATTTGTAAGTATTAAGTACAGTATGGCTGTCCCTCTAGTTCCCTCCTCTACCTTTTGGACAACAAAGTTGTCAACTAGGTTGGTTAGGAACCTATTTGATTTTTCACTTGGTGCAGAATTAGTTTTCCAATTGATATCAGGGTAATTGAAGTCCCCCATTATTATTGTAGTGTGTTTCCTACACGTTTATTAGTTGGTTAGCAAAAAGGATATCTATTTTTTCTGCTTGATTGGGTGGCCTATGGCTATGTCATTCTTCTTGTCTTTTATGTTGACCCATATGCATTCTAGGAGGTTTTCGTCTTTGTTTATTCCCCAGACTTTGTGCATTTGTGTATCTTTAGGCACTTGAGATCTTTATGCCTGACTCTCCTATGTCTCCTATTTGGTTTTTGAGTTTGTCTTCCTTCCCATCCCTCCTTACTTTGTTATTTGCCTTGCTTTCTAGGGGCTTTTGCTTGGAATTAGGTCCTGGAGATCCTAAAGACTGGTCACCCTCCCCCCTCAATTTTAGTTTAAAGCCCTCCTGGTAAGTTGAGCCAGTCGTTTTCCGAAAAGTCTTCCCAGTCTTTGTGAAGTACAACCCATCCCTTGCCAAAAGCCCATCTTGGAGGTAGTACAGACCATGGTCCAGGAACCCAAAGTTTTTTTGGCGACACCAACCCTTTAGCCAGTGGTTCACTTCTAGAATTCTTTGTTCTCTTGCCGGATGTTGTCCTTTCATTGGCAGTACAGATAAAAAAACTACTTGTGCACCTAAGTCCTTGACTTTCTTGCCTAGCTGCTCATAATCATTCAATACTGTTTTCAAGTCCTTTTTTGTGTCATTCATCCCTACATGTAGTAGTAGAAAGGGGTAGTAGTCTGTTGGTTTTATTTTGGTTAGGTTCTCAGCTGCATTTTTTATTTTAGCTCCAGGGAGACAACATATCTCTCTGGATTGACTGTCTGGTTTAGAGATGGCAGGTTCTGTTCCCTTGAGAACGGAATCTCCTGTCACCAACTCGCCTTTTTTTCCCTAGGGAGGTTTGTGGTGTTTTTCTATCTATCACATTTGGTGGTGCTACTTTTTTAGGGACATTTGATGGTGCTTCTTTTTTATGTGTCTACGTTTTCTTCTAGTGAGAGTCCATGATATCGACTGCTTAGCACCAGTGGGGGCTGCTTCAGAGTGGGTTGGCTTGGACAGGAATTTTGTACTAGGTTTGTGTTTTTTTCTATGAGTGACATGTTTCCATCTGTCTTTTTCCTCTAAAGGGTCAACTCTTTTAAAAGTTGTTTGGTCATTATTATGTTCAATTTGGGCATATTCTTTTGGGTTTCTCATTTTGTAGGTCGAGTTTCAGAGTGGTTAGAGTTTCCTCTAGACTCTTTACTTTTTCTTCTAGTAACTTGATTAATTTACATTTGGTACATATGTAGTTTGGATATTCTATGGGCGTAAGTATATTCATGGGACATGTTCTGCAGGTCACAATAGTATCAGTTTCTTCTTCCATGAGTGGATTTACAAAAAATCGAGAGCGAAAGTGTAGAGGGCTTTACAACAAATTTTTAAAAGGGAAATATGTCCAATTTGGAAAACAGATGTTCTAACAGATCATTTAAAATTTGGGAGACTCAGGTCTAGCTAAAGTTTAAGGTTCTAACATTTAAAGAATGCCTAGTTTAAGAATTTAAAGTTCTATAGTTCAAATTGTCTAGTTTAAAATTTTAAGATTCTAGCAGATCATTTAGATTGTCCAATTTAATTTTTTTTTAGTGTTGAGTGGGCTTAAGTGTCTGTACTGGAATGTTCTTTGATTGTCCCTTCCTTCTTGTGATCCTTTCCCTCCCTGCTTTCTTGTGGGCTTGATTTATCTCTTACTTCTCTGCCTTTATATGTTCTGTACTTGCTATGTCTACTTGCCTTTGATTTTCTTTTGCCTTGTGTCCTGTGTTGTCTTTTTATCCTCCCTTCCTACTTGTTTTTCTCCTGCCACTACTGGGTATTCAGCTCTCTGCTTTTCTCAGTTCATGGCGTTCCCCCACCTGTTGGTCTCCCATTCTGCTCTATTGCCATTCTCAGTCACCAGTTTGCAGATCCGCTGTGCTGAAATGCTCCACCAAGACTGACAGTCTCCAGCTGCACCGATGCTCTCCTGTTGCTCTCCACGCTCCTCTCAGGATCTGCTTCGTTGTGCTGCCTCTCGCTGCTGGCTCTCCCAACTACTGTGCTGCCGCTGCTCCTGGATCCTCAGCCACGTGGCTCCTGTTTGCGCTGCTTCTCCCAGCAACAGGACCACCAGGATGGACCACGGCAAGCTCACCTCGTCTCCTCTCCACAGCCGGTTCTCCTCCTCCTCCTCTCTCTCACCGGCTCACCTTTTCCTTCTCTGCCGGTTGTTGCTTTGCCCTCAGTCTCCTCTCTGCCCCACGGATTGTTTTCCTTCCTGCTCCACAGCTGGGCCCCACTCGCTCACCAGCTCGCCTTGTTGTTCTCCGCTGGTGTGTTCTGCCTCTCCGTTCACCTCGCTTCAATAGGCCTCCGTGCTCTTGGGAAGGCCTCTCGGGTGCAGCTGGGCTTCTCTCAACAGGCCAAGTTCGCTGTGGATCGTTTTCCTCCTATTTCTCCGGTCTTTCCTCTCCTTTTCCTTTCTCCACTTATTTTTCTTTCTCTATGATTAATAGCAACTTTCTCTTAACTCCCTGCGATGTAACTATGCTTCCTCTGTTGCCGCCATCTTGACTACTTAAGAGGTCTCTGACTTATGACCACAACTGGGGCCAGAATTTCTGTTGCTAAGCAAGTTGGTCGTGAAGTGATCTGTGCCCAGTTTTGCAAGCTGTTCTGCTGTTAAATTAATCATGTGGCCATTAAGCGAATCCGGCTTCTCCCATTGACTTTGCTTGTTGGAAGCTGGCTGGGAAACCACATGATCCTGGAATGCTGCCACAATTGTAAATACATGCCGGTTGCTGGTTGCTAGAATGCGAGGATAAGTTGGAAGTCATTTTTTTTAGTGCTGTTGTAAATTTGGTCGCTAAACAAATGGTTGTAAGTTGAGGACTACCTGTAGATGTCCTAGCTTTAAGCACTGCAGTTAGAAATAATCTCAGATACCAGAGCTGAGAAAGACCTGAAAAAAGAATAACCCCCTTAAGTTTTTTTTTGCTCCCCAGTTGATTACAGGTAGTCCTCGATTTACAACAATTCACTTAGTGACCGTTCAAAGTTACAATGGCACTGAAAAATGTGACTTATGACCATTTTTCACACTTATGACATTTACACCAACCTTCTGACAAGCAAAGTCCATGGGGAATCCAGACTCACTTAAGAATCGGTCTACTAACGTAACTGTAGTGATTCACTTAACAGCTGAGGCAAGAAAGGTCGTAAAATGGGGCAAAACCCACTTAACAAATTTCTCACTTGACAACAGAACTTTGGGGCTCAATTGTGGTCATAAGTCGAGGACTATCTGTATAACATCATTCCTCCTTGCTAACCATTCCCCAATGAATGCAAAACCTAGGGGATCTCCATTAGAATTGAGGACGCTTGTTAGAAACTCAGTTCACACAGAATACTAAACTATATTTGCATTTGTTTGTTTTAACTCGATAGCAAACGCCTCTGGTTTAGGTTGAGGGCCTCTGATATAGTTAACAGTACTTGAAAACCAGCCTTAACCACCAGCATTTAATGTCTTACCTTCAGCTCGGCATTGCTCTCTGCATTTTTGAGCATGTGCAGGAGGAACTCGGCACTCTTTTTTGGCCAACGGCCCTGGGTCCAACCCCACTGCTTGGCCTGCAAGAGGAGAAAAGTAATGTCAACTTTCCTATCAATAAAGATGTTCTCAAGCTTTCCGCTTTTACAGGTTGCTCAGAATCAAAGGTTATTTTCATGGTTAATCCAAAGGTGTCCTAAGAAAGTCATCACAGCAACCCTAAAAACGTGTGAGAGGACACAGAAACCCATTTTAAAATACATCCAAACAACTTAAGAATTTACTTAAAATTTTACCAGGGTTTTGTATAAAATCCCAAATAACACGTCTGCCCTTATCTTTCCCACTCAGGAACCCAGAGGTAAACAATGAAAGTCTGCAAAAACAAAGGACAATGCAGTCCAGAGAGTTTTACCACATGCAGTAAATCAGGGTTTCCCAACCTTTTACAACTTTTAAGATGTAGGTACTTCAATTCCCAGAATCTATTAGCCAGCATAATTGAAATCCACGTGTCTTAAACGTCACCAAGGTTGGGAAAACCCTGCACTAAATAAATACCCTCTATTTCCTACAACAAGCATCGTTGTGAACGCATCAAAACTTCAGTCTCTAAACAAGATACGAATAAATTAGTGTCATTTACTGATATTCTCTAGAGTTGAAATAATTGCTCTATAAATTTCTCCTGAAACTTTTTATTATTCATGCAGATTTGTGTAAAGACACCTGTTTCAGAGCCATACCTGTGCACATCTGCCAACACCACCGTTGTAACGCCGGAATGGAACGCACTGCTTCTTCAGAGTCACGTCCTTTAAATATTTGGTGGCCTTCCGAATGTGCATCCCCTTGATAGCCTGGGCAGTCTCACGTGTGTTCTGAAGAAAATGCATCAATTCAAGGTGCTGGTTATTAATTTTAGAGCCCTCCATGGCTTGGGAGTGTGCTACACGAAGGACCGATGCTCTCTTATTACATCCACCCAGCCCACCAGATATGGAAAAGCAGGGTAATTTTATATGTCCCATCGATTAGGGATGTACATCTGGATGAAAAAGGGCCTTCTCAGTGGTGGCCTCTTCTGTATGGAAGATCCTTCTTGCTGAGGTACAATTGGCCTCCACCCTTTTAAAAGCTTCTCTGAAAGGCCCTAAATGCATGCTTTTGTCAGCTGGCCTGGTAACCCCAAATGGAGCTGATCAAGCGATTAATTTGATTGTGTTTTTGATGCCACATGGGTGGTTTTTATATTGTGGATTTTAATACTGTAAGCCAGCGGTCCCCAGTCTCAACAATCAGGTGTGTGATGATTTTGTGCGAGCAGCAGGTACATGCAATTCCATTTGTGTGCACAAAGGGAGCTTTATGCGTGAGTGTGCCTGTGCAAGTGGAGCTGTGTCTGCTTGCCTGCCACGGCCCATGAGTGGGCCATAGACCAGGGGTTGGGGACCCCTTCTGTAAGATAGCCGGAGTCACCTATGTGTGAGTTGGGTGGCCATATTTATTTAATTAAATAAAAAAAGGGAGTAGACATATTCATTATTACTTTAGAGGGCAGGGACAGAACCACTAAATTAAAACCAAGGGAGGTTCAAGGCAGGTATCAGGAAAGACTGACTGCCAGCTCTCAGGCCATCTCATGAAACAGTGAGCTCACTTTTGTTGTAGGCCTTCAAAATGAGGCTGGGGAATTATCTGTCAGAGATATTCTAGTGAATATTCCTGCACTACATAGAGGGATGGACTAGATGCCACTGCGTTCCATTTCAATTTTATTTACTTGCATTTTAAATCTATTATGATGCATCTATTTTTCAAAAAGCCACATGCATTATAACCTTAAAGCCCCCAAAATAATGTTGTAGAGTAAGTGCAAAATCATTTTGCTAAGCAACTGCTCAGATCCTCTTTAACTGTTTTCATGACAAATCCAAAGGTGTCCTAAGATGGTCATCACTGCAGTTACGACACACGTTCCCCTCTGCTCCTCAAATAGGAGCCTTGGTAGTACAGTGATTTAATGCACCGTTATTAACACAGCTGCCTGCAATTTCTGCAGGTTCGAATCTTACCAGGCTCAAGGTTGACTCAGCCTTCCATCCTTTCTAAGGTAGCTTAAATGAGGACCCAGTTTGTGGGGGCAATAAGCTGACTTTGTATAAATATACAAAAGTATGAAGGCTATTGCTTAACGCATTGTAAGCCGCCCTGAGTCTCCGGAGAAGGGCGGCATATAAATCAAATTAAAATAAAATGAAATAAATAAATAACAATCATTTTCCATGTTAGTTAATTCCAAGAATTTCAAACAGGCAATCAGAGAATCATTATTAACTGGCTTCCCAGCCATGGGAAAATCAATAAAGGAAGTGTAATATTAAGACAAAATTTTGTTTTATTAGAATTTTATCTCACTTTTATTACTTTATAAATAACTCAAGGCAGCAAACACACATTAACACTTCTCTTTTTCCCCCTGTAACAACAACCCTGTGGAGATGGGTTGAAGGTCCAAAGTCTTTGGACTGATCCAAAGTCACCCAGCTGGCTTTCATGCCCAAGGTGAAACTAGAACTCACAATCTCCTGGTTTCTAAGCCAGTGCCTTAAGCAGTACCCCAATTATTTTGTCCCCAAATAACAACAATCATGGAAGATAGAAGGAAAGTGCAAGTAACAAAAGCAATGGCAAAAGGGGAGGGGGGGGAGAGGAAGAACCACTGCTGTGGTAGCCTTGCCACCTTCCAAATACAGAAGCTGAATTATCTGTTATCAGAAAATTCCATCTACAGGAAGTCCTTGATTTACAACAGTTCACTTAGTGACTTTTCGAAGTTACAAGAGCACTGAAGAGAGTGACTTATGGACATTTTTCACTTATGACCGTCACACTATCCAGTCATGTGACCGAAATACGGATGCTTAGCAACTGACTCATATTTATGATGGTTGTGGCATCCCAGGGTCATGTGTTCACTTTTTGTGATCTTCTTGTGCATTACTATTTATCTTCTCATTGTTCCTATCACCCATCTCCTCCCACTTATGACTGTAATCGTGTTGCTGGTATCCTTACGATTTATATTGACTGTTTCCCTGACTATCAGTAAGTGTTGTACCGTACGATTCTTGACGAACGTATCTTTTCTTTTTATGCACTCCGAGATGCATATGCACCAAGACAAATTCCTTGTGTGTCCAATCACACTTGGCCAATAAAGAATTCTATTCTATTCTATCCTGACAAGCAAAGTCAAGGGGGAAGCCAGATTCACTTAACAATCATGTTACTAACTTAAAATTGCAGTGATTCACTTAACTGTGGCACAAAGTCATAAAATGTGGCAAAATTCACTTAACAAATGTTTCACTTAGCCAACAAATCTTTTGGGCTCAAATGTGGTCGTAAGTTGAGGACTACCAGTATTATGGAGCTTCCCCACCCATGAGATCTCTGGGGAACAAAAACCAGGACTGCTAATTAGTGAAGAGTCTCCAAGGACAGAGAGCACAGCGCCTTCTGTCAAATGAGAATGGAATTAGAAACTTAGAAATAGAGTAACTTGATGGTAACTTACTACTCCTGAGCCTGAGCAGAATCTAAGGCAATAGAAATCAAAATAAAGGTAGTTCTCGACTTGCAACCAATTGAGCCCAATGTTTCTCTTGCTAAACAAGACAGTTAAGTGAGTTTCGGCCCATTTTTACCACCTTTCTTGCCACAGTTGTTAAATGAATCACTGTAGTATTGAGTTAGTAACATGGTTGCTAAGTGAATCTGGCTTCCCCAGTGACTTTGCTTGCTAGAAGCTTGCAAAACATGATCACATGATCCCAAGAGACTTGTAACAGTCATTAATATAAGCCAGTTGGCCAAGCGTCCGAATTTTTACCGTGGGGGGGTGCTACAGTAGTCGTAAGTGTGAAGAAAAGGTCATAAATTACTTTTTTCAGTGCCATTGTAACTTTAAGTTAGTAGCACAATTGACCCCATGGACTTCATCAGAATGTGGCCAAGATGATCACACAGTCCTAGGAGACTGCAACCGTCCTAAATGTAAGTTACTTGGCAAGTATCTGAATTTTGACCATGGGGATGCTGCAATGATCATGTGTGAGAAAAGAATAGAATAGAATAATAGAGTTGGAAGGGACCTTGGAGGTCTTCTAGTCCAACCCCCTGCTTAGGCAGGAAGCTCTACAAAAGGTCATAAGTCACTTTTTTCAGTGCCACTGTAACTTTGAGCAGTCACTAAACAAATTGTTCTAAGTTGAGGACTACCTGTATACACTTCTACCCACTCCTCATATTGCCAGAGGCAAGACCCAAATTACATACCTTGAAATGGACCCGAAGGTTGGAACCCCTGGACTTGCATGCTACAAGAAGAAAAGAGGCAAAAGTTAAAACGTTTTGATCTTGTGACTGAAACCTATCAAATAAACTCTTGAGAAAGTTACTTACATTTTGTGGGGTTCTCTGGGTCGAGTGAGTAGCGGACCATTTTCAAAGCTCACCTAGACAAAATTTGGGAAAAAAAACCCAATGTTTTAGACTTGAAATAGTAACTGAGGTATGTCTTCCTATGCTGCTAGAAAAAAAAAAGCTGCTCAGAATTCATAGTATTTTCATTATCTACATCCAAAGGTGTCCTAAGATAGTCATCACCGCAGCTTCGGGTTTTACCCCCAAAGAACACCCTATCCCGCCCCAGTGTCCCTTTCCCCCTAATGAATCACATATAAAATTGTAAGATTTATAAAAGAATTGCAAAACTGTAAAATTTCATCCTTGTTATATCTCAATTTGATTATCCTAGAACCAGAATGTTTAATTAAATGCCATGAATTAAAAGGTTACACTGAAGTGTTGTTAAAACAATGGTAAATAGATTTATTTTTCCATTCTTATTTTAAATGTCAAGCCAACACAAAATATAATTAAAATTATAACACAGTTTGATTGGCACAATTCTACTAGGTAAAGTGGAATGTGGAAAACTGAGCTTGGATTCTGGTGATTAGATGGATCCGTCCATATAATTTTTTTGAAACAGGCAGGTTTTTTGCCAGTTTTCTTCCAAGTTTTTTCTTCATTTTTTTAATTAAAAAATTCAACAGTCTTACTATTCCTTTGGAGCCTCCCATCTGAGTATTAAGTCCATTCCTACTTCACCTTTTGAGGTCAGCCAAGGCAAACTACATGGAGTCAATG